TCAAGGATTGGCTTGGTGGCTTAAAAGGAGTCCCTATATACCCCATTGGGTATAGGGTTTAGGGTGTATATTGGGGTTATATAGGGATTATATAAGGATAATGGAAGAGAAATTGGAAACTACTGTGGCCTGGTGGCTTCAAAATAGTCCCTCTTTAACCCATTATAGTAGTTTCCATGTTCTTTTCCATTATCCCTATATAAACTCTGTGTAACCCCAATATATACCCTAGAGGAATGTTGAGGTTGCTCGAAAGCTAACTGTCCACACGCGCTGCAAACGGTTTCAATCCTATTCAGGAGAGCGTGCATATTCCCTCATGGACCCTGTTGCAGCTAAGATTTTTGACCTAGGTCTCGGATAGTTGCAAAACTCGATCTTGCTCTTGTTTCCTTTTCTTGGGGTTGAGAGGTGAGAATTTTTGAGCGAGAGTTTGGCGCTTAGATTGCGTATAGTTGAATGCAGTTTCAGAGTCTGGGTTACAAGTGGGTCCGAGATCCCGGTACCTTCCGCTCTACGTGCTTGGAAGCTAAGCACTTCAGCTGTCGTACCCCCCCCCCAAAGCAAACGGCACGCCAACCTAGAAGAAACCCTGAACTCGGGCCCTAGATTCAAAGCAACTGGAGATGCTGGCCGGCCTTTTCCTATCTGTGCAGCCTTCTGCACGGCCTTTGCGAGCAAGAGTCCTAAACCTCCCAAGTTATTGGCTCAACATGCCCCGACAGGTTGGCCTGCTCATTGCAGAGTTAGGGTTGAGGAGGTATGGTTTCGGAGGGTTTCAATGCTTTTGCATGTACGAGATTCCTGATGGCTCAGCTCGGTTCACTGCTAGCAAGAGTTTTGAGGCTTTACGGCATCAGCGCGGCCTCAGAGTTCAAGAGGTATATAGGGGCATTTGGGATGCAAGACCACTCCGTGGGATTGTAAGAGTCAGTTCAGTTCCTTTCACATGGCCAGCCCTTCCCCCCCTGAGCCCCAAGTAGCCTATGCAAACTCTTTGGAAGGTTGGGCTGGAGTGCAGGAGGCAATGACCGTCCTTCTTGGGGCCTGATCCAGGAGGCGCGGCTGAGTCAGTCTGGGATTGCCACGGAGAAGTGTGGCTCCGTTTTATTGAAACATCGGAAACATCAAGTAGTTTCAAGACATCTATGGGACCCTAACTTGGAGAGGCCTTCAGTAAAGAAGACAATCTTCCGTTCCAAATCCTTAATGCTATTGATGGCCAGGTGCTGGCGGAGTAGCGGTCCACTTTTTACGTTATTTGATGTGAATGAAGCTGCGGAAGGCAAAAGTCAACTCTTCAGTCAGGCGATGGAGACATTGAATCCCATGCCACAGGCAAAGCTGAGCAATCCTTGGCCTCTCCAAACCTGCCGGTCAGGCACAATTTCCGCGCCTTTTCCATCTAGGGATTGAACATCTTTAGTTGCAGCAGAAGGTCCTAAACTGTATCAAGCCCTGCATATCCGTTCAAAGCCCATCCCTCTCGCGTGCCCTTACCCCTCGTTGGCCTCAAGCCCCAACCCCGCGCCATGCTCCGGGCCTTGGCAGGAGCTGTGATGGGCTGAGCCCTGTGTGGGCATGGCTTAGTAGGGTGCGTCGTTGGTGGTTCGGGCTCCTACCGCTTCCCATCGTTACTGTATCTCTTTTGGAAACGTTCATTAAGATGATGTCTTATGCCCGGCAGCAGCGGCAGTACTATTTATCCTGATGATTGTAATCATATGGGGACTGAAATTGATTCTTGCAGCAGCTGCAGCAGCAGCAGCAGCAATAATACTGCTATTATGAAACTGCACATACAGGAGCGAAAGACTGCAGCAGTTGTAGGAGCAATAGCAACAACAGCAGCACCAGCAGTAGTGGCCGCAGTCACAGTCGCAGGAGCAGTACTAGTCATACAGTAGTAGCAGACGAAGTAGTAGTAGCAGCAGTAGTAGCAGTAGCAGTAATGGCGGCATGCGGTGGAGACGGAGTATTAGGTAGAAGTGAGGAGAGGAGGTGCAGTTGCTGGTAGTAGCTGCTGTGCCTGTTTTTTTTTGTGTGTTTTTATCCTTGTGGTGGTGGTGGTGGTGGCGGCGGCGGCGGCGGCGGTGGTGGTGGTGGCGGCCCCGTTGGCGGTGTTGGAGGTGTTGGAGCTAGTGTTGGTGCAGGTGGTGGTGCTGGTGCTGCCAGTGGGGGCGGTGGTTCAGGTCAGAGTCTGCTAGAAGGGATTATGAAGGTACCTCTTTCCTGTTTGTGTTGCAGCACTGCATGGCTTGTACATATCATTCCTATACTAAGTAAGCACGTGAAAGTCCCTAGGTTCTGTAGGATCGCGATTTGCCTAAACTCAGTTGTGCTGGAGCGGAGCTGGACTCACCCATGATTTCATCTTGAAGGCTCCTGGGTAGTTACAGGTAACATTGTGGAACTAAGTGGGCACGGTAACTTCCTCGTAGCTCGACTACTGCTGGCCATGAGCCTTCGACATGATGTCTTCATCTTGGCATTCGTGCCAGCTCACCTGCGACGTGCCAGCGCTACTCGGCGGACTTTGATCCCACTTTGTTGTCAAGGGAGGGGATTACACTTCGAGACAGCATCTGACCAATTCCATCACGCTGTGCAAGAGCTCCTCGTTGTTTGGCTGCCAGGTGTCTCAAGAGACCCCCGGAGCTTTTAGGTCTTGATGAGCATTGACATGGAGAATCCTCAATACCTCCTGGCCGGCTCTAATACACTTGAAGATTGATCCCTGGCAATATCACGATTCGCATGGCGTTTTCTTAGGATCTTAGGATCCGGGGAAGTAGCGCTGCCTCTTGACGTCTCAGCTGCACAGGAAGTTCCTGTGCTTCCCTTTGTCAGCCTGCCATTCTGCGGTTCGAAGTTCTTGTCACACTGACAGCAAATGCAATGAAGATATTCTCCATTGCATGTTTCTTATTGATGGCGGCTTGACATTCCGAGCTTAAATTGCTGCTGAGGGCAACCGGTCTTGGATTTCCGTTCCCAGCCTACGGTGCGTGCACTTCAGTACCTTAAACAGGAGCCCAGAAAACTAGCGTAGACCTCTGAAAAGCCAGAAGCCCACAACCCTGAACCCTAAACCTTAAATAGTAGTTTCCATGTTCTTTCCAAACCCACATAAAACCTTCAACCCCTGTATAAACCGTATAAAACCGATATAAACCATGTATAAATACATGAATATATATACATGCATATATATATATATCTATATATATACATATCTACATATCAGTGGCTGGGGACGGCTCGGAACAGGCAGAGTAGGTTTTCGAGCTTGAGGGGTGCGAGTTGAGGACCTCCTGAGCTGCCTTTTTTTGCGACTCCAAAGGCTTCTCAAATGAGCCATAGTCTAAAC